AGACGAGGGAGGGAACTCGAGAAATGACGTAATTACGGGATGGCCGGGCGAGTCGACATGAGGACTCGATTTGTTGACCTCAGACACTCGGTTGAGGCCGGATTTGTGGCGAGACCAGCTTGCAAGTGGGGACAGTGTGTATCGGGCAAAAAACACTTGCTACTTTTACTCCCTCCTCCCCGGGCCGCTCGGCACAAATTTGCCAACAATTCGGTACCTCCGTTGCCAAGACCTCGAAGTGGGCCTCCAGTTCCCATAGGAAAAGGGCTTTTCGACGAGAAGAGGAAAAGTTCGCGACTGCTTTGATAAAGCATGAGGGAGGAAGAGAGAGAGAAAGGGATACCGAGCGGAACTCGAGAGTCACATCAGAAATGAGAGAACCGGGTCGGCCGAGTCTGGACCAGAACACGGTCCTCAACAGCGTCCGCTTCGCAAGCACGTACGTCCGAGCCTGCCAAGTGGACCTGACCTGGAGTGGAGGCCAGCATTCTGAAGTTTATGACTTTCCTTGTTGACCAGACTGGCCACGAAATGCCAGTGGACAAGGCGAAAAGTGAGCACAGAATACACACATACACAAACAAACACATACACATACACATACACAAACGCCAATGCCAACATATACACAAACATATACATATAAATTCATACACTCTTGGGCATTCACAGCGATTTCCGATTTGTTCACAGACACATTCTGCCCTCCCGTGCCGCCTCGTTGCCCGTTGGCCCAGTTTTTATATACTTTTATCTTGTTCTCAGTCCGGCTTCGGGTCGGCCAGGTGCTATGTGACCACGGAAACCCGAGGCTGCGCCAACAAATTGAAGGGGACCAAGGCCAGTAGCGGTCAGGGCGAGTTTTATACGCATTCACTCTTGCTCACAATCACACTCACACATTCACACAATCACACACACACACACACACACACACACACACACATGTACAAGAAAAGGTGTGTGTTTAGCCCATTTCTTCCGAGGCGTTTGCGTATTTCGCATCAACATCACCTCACACAACCGCCTGCGGTCGACGCACTCCGTCTTTAAGCTGCTTCCGGCCACTCTGTTCATATGGGACGTATCACGTGGTGATTCTCCTCTCCGTCCGCTCGGCCTCACACTCTGCCCGCCCACTCTTCTCCCACATGCACAGGCGGGCCCATCAAATGTGAACCTGCTCTTCGTGAATCTGGCAACGCCGGCGTCGACGAAACAGAGGTTTGAGGCAGGGTGGGGTATAGGGTTGGCACAAATCTCTGTTCACACGCGACTCTTGTGGGTTGAGGGCGAGCCAACGGGCCGACGGTGGAGCCAGGCAGAAGTGTCGATCATGCCGGCCACGGACAGACATGTTGTGGTGGGACGACATGAGCCCATCTTCAGGCGAATGATTGCCAACTTTTCCACGTCTCGTCTGCTTTCCCACCTCATTTCACCGACTCGTGAAGAAGCCCAACTAGACTGGCTCCAATATGACTCGCCGTCACTGGGTGTCTGTGAAGAAGCCTCAAACCAGTTCGAGGCCTCTCCGGTACTTCTGCCAATTTGGCAGATCCTCATTTCGTGTGAAATGTTTCGCAGCAATCGTAAGCATCGAAAGGTGTGTATGAAGCGATTGACTGGTAGCCTCAAAAGCCTACTTATACACGAAACATGTGTGATGAATAGTTGTATGATTACATTCCAACAGCTTTCGCATTTTTTCGCTATTTTACGCCTTTTTTCGTTGCATAAATAGGCTTTCACGACTCATCGGCACCCTCAGAGGGACTCGAGCCCGGTCTGCGATTGTGCCTCCATCATTGTTTTGGCGTCCAGTCAGTTTCCCATATTATGTCATTTGGTGTGATTGTCGACGATACAAAGTTCTATTTGCCATAGTAATCGATTACATTTATGGCAAATACAACTTTGTATCGTCTGCAATCCCATCTGCTTTTTGCAGTTGTGCCCTAATGGTTGACGTGGAGAAATTAAGCACTACACCGCAACAATCTAGGCTCGAGTCTCGCTGGGAGTGCCGATGAGACCAGTTTGAGAGAGGTCAAACCGACAATCCACTCCTGCCTGAATCAGAATTAATTTTGCAAGTCAAGCATGTTTAACATTCAATGGAAACATGAGTCCAATTCAACAAATTGTGGAACAATTCAACTATCAGTCCTTCATCAGCTTGGACAAAATAGAGTGAATACAAATCAGTTCGTTTGGGAGAAAATATACAACAACCAATACCAGTTTGAGAGACGATGGAGTAATGTGAATAGAGTGCGACGCCTCTACTCACTTTTGCCGTGGTTTCAGCCATGGACACACCTTCTGAGCATACGAATTCATATGAATTGCTCCCCAGCCCCACCAGACGTGGTCGCCTCATTGCATAGTCTTTGGGTACAATCCGATTGCTTGCATTCTGTTGGAACAAATTAATATGTTTACTGGGTCTAATTGCCAACGGGCAGACACACAAACACACGTACATATACACACATCTAATAGGCCTATATGCCCATGGATGGACTGGACAATGAGTGTGTCGGGTTGAGTTCAAATAGTTGGTTTTCTTGAGGCGCTGTGAAAATTAATTCCAATTTGGATGCGTTCCATCAAGTTACATGACATACAAAAGCTGATCACATTTTCACCGGAAGCAAAGAGCTACGTCAGTATTACGATCCAGAAACCATGTAATGGGATTGAATGACGATACCATTCAGCACTCACTTTCACACGACGTAGAGGTCAGTTCAACAGACTTTCTTTTAGACGACAGATATCCCCACAGTT